CGTGTCACCCTACTTTCATGGGGTGGGTTGGCTGCTGCAGCGATAGACAATATATTTATGGCAGTGTTTTTTGTTTTTAAAAAGTGATCCAGAGGGGGTGCTGTGATGGCGCAGGCACAAAGAACAACCACATAGTGAAGCCTTAGTCATTATGGCGGTGGTCGCAGGCCGCATGTCTTTCCCCTCTCTCATTACCCACTTTCCTGTTAAACTACTTCCAAATAAAGGCAACTATAGCCAACAAAACTTTAAAAAAGTGATCCAGGGAGCAATCATTCATACATAGAGTACTCCAAAATTGTACTCCAATCAGAGTAGCTCACCTTAAACATGTTTAATTAAGCAAGTGTAAAATGTATTTGGTAAACTGCTCAAGTACTGAGTAACTGATCATAATACCTAATTTAATAGTCCCAATGTGTCCTCAAACAGAGCTCCAAAAGTATAAAAGTTATGTGAAAATTCTGGTATTGTAAAGAGTATTACTAAAATATACAAGTGAGGAGTTAGGTTTGGAGGTTGGTTCTAGATCAAATTTACCATGAGGGCCAGGATAGTCGGTGTTTTTCCATGGTGACACTTAAAGAATGAAGCAAAAAAACAGAGCAATATTTCATCATTTGATATATCAAGTGAGCCAAAGAGCTACTTGTGTCTCCAGATAGATTCAGGTTGCAGATCCTGATCAAGCAGATGGAAAGTATGATTCTATCTCAATACAGCAGTTAAAATTGCAGCACTATAATTTTTAATTCATTGTTAAAATAAAATTGTGAAGGTTAAAAAAAATCCACCTCTGAATATTAACAAAATACATTTATTTAGTGTCATTTCTTCTGTACCCCTGCTGGCCCCCATCTAGAACCGCCCCGGGGCAGAAGGTCTGTGTCTGACATTAATAATACATTAAATGACCACTGAACACTGAATTAATATGTCAACATTTCTTAATAAAACAAACAGAAAGCACTAACAAATCTTTTTAAAGTAGGATATATTTATGTATTTACTGCTAATCTCTCAGTATGATTTGTTCTCTAAATGACCATTTATTATTTTGGCTGATACGACTATACATTAAATAAGCAAATAATTGATTATCTAATAATCAAACCATAACAGTCCACAATAAGAAACTTAATCATAGCAAAAATGTTCTGTACCATATCAGCCTCAGGAGATGATTGAGGGATGAAGAGATGATGATGTCTGGTTCTTTAGGTTCTATCCGGGTCTTCAAGCCCTGTTTACACGACAACAATTTCGGGTGAAAACAGAAGAGTTTCGTTGTGTTTGTGTCTGGATCACTTTTTACATTTACACGAAAATGGCGAATGTTTTCTCTAACGGCACAGTTTGAAAACGGGTTCCAGAGTGCAATATTTTTAAAACGTACCAGTGTCCGTTGTCTTGTAAACAGAATTAATTGGTCTTTTCTGTCAGGGAATCCCTACCTCATGCATAGTATGACGCAAAACTGCTTCCGACAATCCACACAAGACAAAGAAGCTACTGACAATGCTGTAGTAACAATTCGTGTTTCTCCATCAGATACGGTTCCCCCAGCATCTCTTCACCGCTCCACACCTCCCAGGTGGCAAAATACACGGCTGCTTGTTTAACGATCATAACAGGCACTTGCTTGTTCAGCACTCTTATCTAGAGAACTACAGACACTGCAAAAGCTCAAACAACGTGTTTCAGCTAAGTTATCCCACTTTTTTCCAACTGCGCCCTAATCAGACACACATAGTGCGTGTTTTTCCCCAATATTTGGGGGAACGGTACATGATGGGGAAACGCGAATCGACATGCTTTCGAGTAGATCTTCCTTTTTGTTGACACATGCGCACTTAAGGGGCGTTTACACGACAATGATCCAACAAAAACAGAATTTTTGTTCCGTTTTTGTTGGATCATTTACATGAAAACGTTCTAATTGCAATCTTTGTTTACACAGTAACGGTACACATCAAAAACGTGTAATGCTCTCACTGCGCCTAGTTGGTGCTAGGTTATTTGAAACTAAGTGCGCATGTGTTTAAAAAAAGTTCTACTTGAACAAATGGCATACTTGGATTCAAAATTGATTAGCAGTTTTTCCCAACACTGGTCCTTAAGTCAAATTGACCTGCATGTTTTAATTTCAGAAAAACCCTGTTAATCACCCATCAATTACAATCATGTGTGCTGAATTAGAGAAATGTTTAACCTTTTCAGGGCATTGTGACTTGAGGACCAGCGTTGAAAAACACTATTATACATTGGCATTTCAATCATCAGAAATCAACCACAAAACAACATTCATACAATGACATCTTTTCAACTTTAGTTAATTAGCTACAATTGGATGATTGTTTGATGGTTTATCCACCATCAGTCGTCAACCTTAGCAATACATTCAACCTTTGTGATCATAATTCAACATTGAATTAATGTATTTTGCAAACAAGCCAACAGCGAAGTGGCTGTGTTTGCGACATCCCACTCATGAAAATAGGGGGAGTGGACCACTTCACTTCTTGTAGTAAGTTGTAGATGTTTTTGTGTCAATATATCACGCGCAAACAGTCAGTAATAATTTTTATGGACAAGTAAGAAAATGTACAGAAAGGAATCACAACCTACTATCCTCAACAGTGCTTAATTTAAAACATGATTAACCCCCACTCAATAATAAAATGCTCTGAGCCAGAGCTCAGAAGAAGAGGAAAAAGGGGAAGGGTGCGACAAAACAGCATACATTGATTCAACATCGATCAGACGTTGATCAGACATCGGCATTTCATTCATTAGATTTCAACCACAAAACAACATTGATTCAATGACATATTTTCAACATTCAATGACTAGAATTGGCTAGAATTGGATGATTGTTTGATGGTTGTTTGACGGTTGAGCCACCATCAGTTGTCGACCTCAATCAAAAATCAATCATTATGACTATAATTCAATGTTGAATTACCATTGCATGCTATCTGATCTGGGTTTTGGAAACCATCAACCATGTTCTGTCCCATCTGGTTATGTTTCTGACTACTTTATTAGCACAAAATAAAAAGCTAATTTAAATTGGTTAACTATGTTTCTAAGTGTGATCTGCCAATTTTCAGTTTGGTTGAGGTCAGGAGAATTCCAGAAACTTAATGTTGACTTTGGTTTATTGTTAAATTAGAACACCCAAATGTGTCAAACTGTCAATATCAGATGAGGGAAAATTGGTCAGAATGTTAAGAAAAACCAGAGGTACCACCAAGACACAACCCTAGATGAAAGACCAGGAGTCAGAGGGCTCAGAGGTTGACTTTTCTACTGGACCAATCAGCGAACAGAAGGAACAGTTGTAAACAATGATGTTGCCTTTCTGTGCTGTTTTCAAAAGGTAGTTTGCCTGTAGTTTTAACAATGGCAGCAGAGGATATGAACAAAGTTGTTCAGTCCATGTTGGTCACACTTCCAAATATTGAATTAACAATAACAGCTGCATTGTTTGGATCAGCATTTGGAGGATGGTCGCTTATAGCACAGGCAATTTCCAGTTAGCTTCAAAGCCTTGACCGGGCCCAATAGTCCCCTGGACAAAAAAGAAAGTGTATTACAACGAAATACTTTTTACCAGGCTAAGGTTTTTACCTGGGATAACCAGATGCTTTTTTGATGGCTGTGCTGAACTGGCAACCGATCCAGGGTGACCTTGCCTATCACCTGTTGACTGTTTGTGCCAGGACCCCTGGCAATCCCACTAGGGATAGGCATGTAAGATGACTGATGGATGGGTGGATGGATGGTTTTTTGATGATACTATAAGTACATAGTTTCTCTAGACCAGGGGTGGGCAACTCCAGGCCTCGAGGGCCGGTCTCCTGCAACTTTTAGATTTGTCTCTACTTCAACACACCTGAGTCAAATAATGAGGTTATTAGCAGGACTCTGGAGAACTTGACTGCACTTAGAAGGTGATTCTGCTATTGGATTCACATGTGTTGGACCAGGGAGATCTTTAAGAGTTGCAGGACACCGGCTGTAGGAGCTATTTCTCCATTTTCAGTTATATCTTAGAATTAAAATTTAGTTTATTCTTATTTTTTGTTTATTTTCTAGTTGATTTATCATTAGAATTTGTGCTTAATTCGTTATTTAGAATAAGTTCTTTGATTAAGAATTCACTTAATTTGTTAATTTCAGGTTGGGATGTGGGTATTTCACGGTATAAATAGGTGGGTCTTAGGTAGCTTATTATGCACGTGGGTGGTCACAAGGTTTTTTACCAGTCTTCAGTCTATGGAATCAGTCTCATCAGTCACTTCAGTCATCAGTCAGAGAACAGGTGCAGGAATCAGAGCGGAAGCAGAATCCTATGAAGCCTGTAACCTTTTTGCCTGAACTGTGAAATAAAACAGCCAAAGAACTGCATTTCGACTTTTTGATCCTTTTGGGCTGTGTAAACCAGAATCCACGGTGCATCAGATGACTTTGATGCATCACTTTGATCAAAACATTCACTTTTGTTTTGATCACTTTTGAGTTTTGAGTTTTTGATTTTTGAATTTAAGTTTTGGAACAAATAGTCACTACACCGGGACATTTCCCAATAATATTAGTAGGGGTGTATTTATATATTTGTGACTGTGAACTTTGAAAATGAATTACAGTTCTTTATTGCTTAATCACACCAACCCCAAAAATGGAACAGTTCAAAGGCACCATTAAAAGAACTATAAAGACTTTCATGCCAATCAGGAATGTATGTAAATCTCTGACCATAATTGAAAAATTGTCAGTAGAATACTCATATAAGTCAGCCTCACTTTCTATCATACAATAATGATTTTTGTTCTCTTGTGACCCATTTGGAGGAAACTGTTGCCAAGGTCCATAGTTGTATTTCAGTCATGGTTTCCAAGGGAACAAAACAGGCGTAGAAGAACAAGCTTGGTTAGGCTGAAAACTTAACAATGGGTGTTTCTATCTCCACATTCCTACCCATCCTTGGTGCTCAGATGTGTCCTCAGGGCTGGACTTTTAAAGGAGGACATTGTTACATCGTCAGCACTAAGCCCAAGCTCACATGGAGTGCAGCTAACAGGACCTGCAGAGAAAGGTATCATTAAACATTCTGTTATCACAGAGTTGATGGGTTTCACTGGATAATGTGTGGTGGTGGGATCCATGAAAAATACAAACTCATTCATTATTGTTTGTAATGTGTCATTTGTAACTTTAAAAATGTTGATAATGTTTACTTGTTTTTGATATCAGGTTCATGGGAAGTCTTGCAAGTGTTCTGTCTAAATCTGACATGGACTGGTTGTGGGACTTCAGTGGAAGAAAGCCTTTCTGGATAGGTTAGTGCTCTGCAGTGAATGTAGTTGAGATGATATTTACATAATAAATATCTTGTAATAATAATATTACAAGATGATGTAGTAGTATTATCACATCATCTTGATTAATAATAGTATATTTTACTGTTAGAATATACCTGAACAAGAATGTTTAATTTTAAATAGTGCATTGGTTCAGATTGTTCATAAGACAGGATTTTAAAGTTTTCTACACCTAATAATATGAAAAGTGTGGTGTGCGTTATGTAGTTGGCCCCCTCCACTCGAATACTCCTAAACAAAATCTATAAACCTACCAAGAGCAGTCAATACGTCTAAGAACAGCAGTACTGTTCTTAGGGTGCTCTTAGGTGTTCTTAGGCCCATCAAGTAGGAGATTCTGTTGACAAAATATTAAACTAAAGTGGAAAAAAGATCAACTTTATGTGTCATTTAGGTGTAATGGGAATAAAAAAACTGCCTACAGTCCTTGAAACATGCTCATCTCTCTTGTGGTCTCCTTCAGGGATCATTTCTTCTTTTTACTGCCTTTGGCTTCAGTTTTTAGCAGTGTTGTGGTCAAGACCACCTAACCTGAGACCAAGACAAGACCAAGACCAGACTGTATCGAGACCGAGACAAGACCAAGACTTTTAGGGTCCGAGACCAAGTCAAGACCAAGACCAGCGCCCCACGCTACATGATACGATAAAATGTGAAATATGATCAAAATTGCTTCTCAAACTGATCTGAAAGATCCGTATTCCCATAAAAAGACCTAGATGTTAAATACTTGATCAATTTTACCAAAATTAAAAGCAGAACAAACTGTTCTGCTTTGCTTCCATCTCTGTGTTACAATCCGCGGTGGTCTGGTGCCATCCCTAAAAAGATAATGCCCTGGGCATTTGCCTATATTGCTCATGTCAGAAACCACCACTCTCTGTACCATTTAACATAGCAATTGAGGCAATGCCCAGATGGCAAATAACGCTCAACTATGAACACTGACCAAGGAGCAACAAGCAAGAAGTAACCATGCACAAGGCGCTCATCGTGACTGTTCTCACCCTCTCTCCCACTACATAAGCCAGGTAGTCTGACACCATGGCAGACATTACAGCTGCCACTTTGAACAAAAACAATCAAAGATCAATGTGCATGCTCTGCGTGCGCTTTCATTCTTGTGTTTTATTTATTTGTTAATTAAAAAAATATCAATGTACATAATTAAATAAAATAATGATAGCTGCTGCAGTGTACTCAGAGCATTACAAGAACAAAGAAGAGTGTTCTGTCAGGTCAGCATATGCTTAGAACAAACTCACGGCTATATCTGTCAGACACGTCATTACCATATAATTTTATTTAATTAGCAACATAGAATCATGACATAGATACAATTTTAAAAAGTACAATAGTGAATTTTAGCAAAAGTATAACAGCAATCTCCTGAAGAAGCTGAACGTTTTGAGATATGAATTAGCACTATTAGTTGAAAATAGCAGAAATAGTTAATGACCGAAAAATGTGAGGAGGATCTTAATAAGTGAGAGTGCAGTAATGCATTCTCACTGATAGAGCGTTTCTTTATTAGGTGTAGAACAACAGGTGCTTGCCATGCATTACATGGGAGGCAGTGACTGCTTTACTTCGATCTTCCCTATGTAATGCTAATGGGAGGCCCCAATAAAGAGACATTCTATTGGGTATAGAACAATAGGTGCCTGACATGCAATGCCTTTCCTTATGCATTGCCAAGGCAGGCCCCAATAAAGAGATATTCTATTGATATTCTATTGAATATCTCTTTCTTCTTTCACCAATTCTTGTTATTTTTAAATAAGAAGGTCTATTCTGTCATTTAAGGTCTGAACAGCAGGGAGGCTGAAGGATGGTGGGAGTGGGCGGGCGGTGAGCCTGTCAGCTATACTAACTGGAGGAAGACCCCCCCTCGCTCCAAAATGAAGAGAAACAGGAAGTGTGTGCTGGTGTGGAGAAACGCCAAGTGGCAAATTAGAGACTGCAAGAGGAGCAGAGCTCATCCTTTTGTGTGCTCAGTTAAACTTTGAGGACGACTTGCAGCAGCAAGATAAGCTGCTACTGATGCTCAGGAAATAACCTGTCATCGAGGACCACTGGGGTCTTTTTTTATGGCCTACTTTTATGATTTTATGATTTATTGTAGCTCTAAAGCAATTTTAGAACACTGTGCTTTATTTAACCAATGAAAGTACTAAAGTTTTTAATGACTTTTTGTTTTTTAATGGTGTGAAAACAGTTGGAATTTTTTCCACACATACTGCACCAGAACATTTTATCTCTGTGAACATTTTTTATTTTTCATATTTTACTTTTATTTTGTATATATTCTTGACTTCATCTGAGTTTAATTGTGTTTCCACAGTTATGAACTGTAATTTAATGGTCAAATTCTTTACTTTTGTTCCATTAAAATGGCCAACTGAAAATAACTCAAATTGTACTTTTACTGTACATATGAGCAGAATTTGGAGAATTGCCACCAAAGAGTTCCTTTTAAAGTCGTTCATGTCAAGTCTGTTTAATTGATTCTCTGTTGCTGTCCAAGCCCAGGCTGTGTTATTTAGATCAGGGCCAGAGGGTTTGAACCACATGGGTAAACAGTAATGTGATTATCTCCATCATGTGATCTGATCTCCCAGCAGAGCATGAAAGAAACCATTTTATGCAGGCTGAGAGCCGTTCTCAGGGTTTCTCAGGCACTGAACAGATCCAGCATGTCGTCCTCGGCTCGGTGAGTCCACACAAAACTGACAAAATACGTTTAAATACTTGGTTTAAATTTAAAGCATTTAAATAATTGAAATAGTTTTTTGTGCCATAAATAAGATAAAAAACCTAATACATATTTTTAAATGATATTTTGTGCTAACTGATATTTGAATAATATTAACACCGGTACATCTACATCTAATCCTATGATGTCTTGTCTTGAATAAGACTGGAAATCCTTAATGATCTGAATGTAAAGTAAATATTAAGTCAAAGCTGCAAATGGATTTTCTAGATATTTTGCTTTTTTCTTTGAGATACTGAAACTTGTTTTTGATTGAATAAAAAAATAAATGCATTTGATGGATGGTGATGCATTCTTCTGTTATATTTTAGAGTTATCTAAAGTTATCTAGAGCTTTTTAACACATAACCACATATTCTCAGAGAAAGTTATGATCTGGGAAGATTCTTGACCACAGTTCCAAAGTTTTTGTGTTCTTATCTTTGATCAACTTTATTATCAATTCTACGTTGTTCCATTGTCCTCTATCATGCTGACAAATACACAGATCACCAGCTTATTGTCATAAAGTGGTTGTTGATGGTGGTGAGGATTGACGCTGAGACCCAGGTATGGTGAAGATGAAGCGTTTAATGAGAGAGATGAACACAGTCCTGGCTCAGGAAGCACGGCAGCAAACAAGCACGTAGCCAATACCGGTAGCAACTGACATGTGGACTGGACATAGAAATAAACTACCTCAGGACTTAACAGTTCTACTGAGGGGAAAAACAAACTGACTCACAAGACGTTGCGTTATAGACGATAGACAAAGACAAGGACCCGACAAGAAACAAAGACAACAGGTGGATTTAAATACACAGGGAGGGTAATCAGGTAAGTAGACACATCTGGGGAGCAATCAACAGGGAAGACAGACTCACAGGGGAAAACTAAAAGACAGAAAAACCTCAAAAATAACCACACAGAAAACACAGATCATAACACTTATTCCTGATTTCCTTACTTTTGGGATATCAGCCAATACTTGCATGTGAAACTGACTTTTCCGGCTGATTTGATTGACCTGCCCACCAGGTCACGTCTACACGTGCATGAATAAAAAAAGCTATCTCACAGTTGCTAGAAGCAACTTTGTTGCCAAGCTGACTTTAAACACAAAAAACTGGTATCGCCCAACATTGGAGTCAGCAGGTCAGGCTTTATAAAGACCTTTGCAGCATACCCCCCTTAAAATCAAGGATTTTGGCTTTACTGATGAACAGGTTTATTTGGGAGTAAACCCTAAGTTTCACCATAAGAGCGGTGTACAAACAAAGACAAACAAAAGACAGTGCAAGCTACAAACGACCCTCTTACAACCGTAACTTTTGAACCAGAACATAACGTTCACAACTAAAATATTGATTCTCATTCATAAACCAAACCAGTATCCTTATATGATAAAGCAAATTTATAATTTCAATCAATCAATAAAAGAAATTTCCTTATTTACAAAACAGACATGCCTTGTGCCTCTATCAAGGGGGCTGCTAATAATAAGATACATTTAACAACACCCAAAGGGTGCGTTCACACTGCAGCCTGAAGTGAACCAATTCCGATTTTTTTGACGTAATGCGACCTGTATCCGTTCTTTCCATGGCAGTGTGAACAGCACCGGTCGGATTCTTTTTCGAATGTGACCCATATCCGATAAGTATCCGTTTCAAATGCGACCTAACGTTCAGGTTGCATTCATCCGAACTGAACGTCACTGATTCTCAACAAATCTCACTATTCTGCGTCCTGAAGTAAGCAAGTGGGAAGAAAAACAACAACTATGACGAACTATATGAGGATTAAGTTGTTAATATGCTGCTCCAGCCGGACAACAACTTCAAATATGTAAGCTAAGCTCCACCGTTAGCCTCCATGTTTACTTCCGCAAACACTGAGCACTTCTTTTTATGGCAGCTGGAAGAACACTGAGAACACTGACGCTATTGTGCCCTCTAGTGCGCATGTGGGACACTATCAGGTTGTTTGCCCGTTCACACTGCAGAACGCATACAGGTCGCATTTACTGGCAGTGTGAACGGCCCCGGCAAAAAAATCAGAATTGCCAAAAAATCGGACTTCAGGCTGCAGTGTGAATGCACCCTCTGTTCCAACTTGTTTTCCGTTCCTTCTGTTGCCAAGCTGCCGCTGCACAACGAAAACAGCAGAAGTTCTCCTATCAAAATAAAAGCATAATATACAAAAACCATTAGTTAACTAACAAAAAGGCAATAAGCTCTAAAAAGGGAGTACAACAAGTAAGTTGGAGTTATTTACACTCCCACCAAAATTATAAATGAGTTTACACAAGAACAGAAATAATTTTCTCAAACAACATAACCCATGTATACATTACCTTAAAAACTTTCTAACAGAATAAAAAGATGTCATGGCTGTTCAGATTATTTACAGTCAGGGGTCTACTATAGCCAAGACTTCATAAAGTCCTTAATGAGGTATCATTGAGTGACTGAATGGCATTCGGCACATTACTAACTGTCCTTAAACAGTCCATGCCGCATTGTGTGAAGGGAGGAGACGCTCTAAACGCTGTACAGGTTGGTCTTAGCCCTCTGGAGCTCTGCGAAGCCTGAGACCGATGACACACTGGCAGATGAATGAAGCAACAGTTCTGCTTATCCCAGGGATCCAATGACCACTCCATCTGATTTTTTTTATGGTGAATCCTTTTCCTTGGTGCTTTACTTTGTTGTGGTTCTGAGATATGATGAGTTTGCCTGGTTAATGTTGCTTTGGGATCACATCTTGGTGCTTGAAGGAGTCCTTGATAGATGAAAGTCATCCTCCCACCTTGAGGAGACCATCTGTTTCCATGAATACATCTAGCTGATGCATTTTGTTGTGATGTGGTAGCTGGTTGCCTTGGGTGTGGTAAGTACAATATTCGCCTTGTATTCTTTCACATCTCTTTTGATTCTGTTATTCTTGTGTGCAACATAGTCCATATTGTAATTTTCTGCCTTGTTAAACATTTGCTTTGAGTGTTTCAATGTGATTTCTGCAGGCCTTTTAATATCTGAGTGTGAAGCTTATTTGAATAGAAGAGCCTTCTCACCGTGTCCTTGTTTGCTTTTCTGTATTCCTTCCTTACGTTTGTCCAGAAAAACGTTATCCTTTTGTGAGCCTCTTCATCCTTTACCTTTCCATCCTTAACACTGATCATGTCCATCGATGATGCAGAAGACCATTCCTTTACCATAATGCACAGCACAGAATTGTTTCAGTTTCGTTTGACTCTGGCGTGGAGATACCAATAATGCTCCACCCTAGATCCATCTGGATAGCAAATGGTTAATTCTCCTTTCCCAGCAGAACCTTTTTTGGAGCTAAAGCTCTGGCACAATTAAATCCAATAAGTAGTCCAGCATTGCAACTAAGGAGAGGAGGTAACTTATCTTCAATGTCTGCCATATGATTCCATTTCTTTGCCATTTCATTTGTAGGTGCGTTGTCATGTTGTCCTTTTTGTAACAGGGTGGAAGCTCGGTGGGAAAATCTGAATTATAACCTCTCACACGTAGCCCTGCTACTCTCTGACTTTTGACAATTGTTTGAACTTCCAGCATTGTGGTAAGTTTTAAGTTAACTGGATGGGAATCTGCTTGTAACTGGTTAATTACTTCTTCACTGATAAATGTGTTGTCACTTTGTCTCCAGTAAAGCGTAAACTAACTTCTCTTTAGATGGACTCTGGGCAGTAGAAACCCACACAGGAACAATCATGCAGGTGCAACCTGACTGACCCATCTTTGTGACACTCAGAGCTGTGGCTGCTGTAGAATCACTTTCTATGATGTTTGTGGAGCTCTCAGGTCTTTCACTTGCCTTCTCATTCTCAATGTAGGTGATGGGATCCATGCTGAACACCATGGCCACAGGCGCTGGGATTCTGTTTACAGCTATGCTGTCTTGTTTCTCAGCTTTAGCCAGCTGAGAAACGATGGAGCAGCAGCTTGAGGGTGTAATTGTTGTAGTGGATTGTTTACAGGAACTGATGCACATTGTTGCCAGAGTGGTTGATATGAATCTCTAGAACCAACTGGAGCTGGTTGGCTTTACTGATGAATAGGTTTATAGGGAGTAAACCCTGAGTTTCACCATAACAGCTTGTGCCTCTATCAAGGGAGCCACTAATAATAAAATACATTTAACAACTTTGTTGGAACTTTTTTTCTGTTCCTTCTGTTGCCATGCTGCCGCTGCACAACAAAAGCAGCGGAAGTTCTCTTTATCAAAATAAAAGCATAAAATACAAAAACCGGACGTTAACTAACAAAAAGGCAATATGCTCTAAAAAGAAGTATATCAAGTAAGTTGGGGTTATTTACAACCTTTTATATGTTTTTTGCAATTCCATGATTGTGGAGATTCAAAACCCACAACTCTAATGCATGATTCTTAGTTTATTGCAAATATCCTGCAAAAATGGTCAAAAACACTGGCTTTAACTGCCTGCTAGCTTAACTGCGGGTGGCAGTGTTTCATACTTCTACTACACTTGTTATCTGATCAATATGTATAGTAACAAAAACCAAGCTATTTATGTTCTTGGAGGTCTGTGCAGATCAGCTGCTGGGATTTTTAGCAGCATTTTTAATCAGTCCCTCACCCAAAGCTCCATCACCATGCTTAAAGTCCTCCACCATCACACCACATTGACAAACGTGGAACAGCAAAGGAGCTATGTGAAGCTGCTCTTCCTGGACTTCAGCTCATCTTTTAACACCATCATTCAGAGCAGACTGGTGAGGAACCTTGGGGATCTGGGTCTCCCCCACAACATCTGCTGCTTGATCATGAACTTCCTGACACACCGCTCCCAGAGGGTGAGAGTAGGAACCAACCTGTCCTCAGCCCTGAGCACAAGCACCGGCCTTCCACAAGGCTTTGTGCTAAGAGACCCCTAGTTTACAGCTTCTACTCCCATGACTATAGCCCTTCCCACCCAAACAATACCATCATAAAGTTTGCTGATGATACCACAGTGGTGGGGCCGATCTCTGGAGGAGATGAAATCGCATACAGAATTGAGGTGGAATGACTGTCTGTCTGGTGCACCAATGGCAACCTCCGTTTGAACACCTTCAAGTCGAAGGAACTGATTGTCGACTTTAGAGGATGTAAACCAAACATTCAGCCCAGAGTTATAAATGGGGAGAGGGTGGAGATGGTGACACATTTCAGTTTCCTGGGCAGCTGTGTGTTTACATCTTACACCATCTAGCCCTGCGCGTGGCCCTGTGTCTGCATTGATAAAGTTTATGTGTTCCTCAGTGGT